CTGTACATTTAATTAAGTTATTGTTAATTATTTATTGGTTTAATGTAAGTGGCTATTGTTCGGGACGAACACTACTAAAGAAGGGGCAGTGTTACGACAGCGGAAGTCACGTGACGCTAGTAACACGTCATGAGCTTCTAGAAAATTCATGTACCTTCGTGAAGCCTCGAGTGTTTACTAGATATGCGGTATTCTTGTATATAAGACCGCCGAGAAGTGACGGCAACAATGTAATTGAATTGCAGACAGAGATAGAGATGGACAATTGAGTCGGGCGCGTGAGCCGTTCGTTGTGAATTATAGCGTGACTGTGGAAATTAAGTGTATTGCAAAGTTGACTTGAGAAAGAATAAACTAGTTTTATTTAAGAAAGGACTTGTGTCACTAAAGTTTCATCGGAAAGAAATTATACGGGAAATTAACTAACGACCAGAGATGTAACAATCCTGAAATAAACTAAAATACAATCCATTATTACGTGACAAAAATAAAACACGTGTGGGGAAGCTCACCCCCCCCCCCGGAAAATAATCGAGAAGTAAGTAATTAAAGTTGCGGATAAATTACTAAAGGCACCATATAAAATAACTTTCTACAACTGTTTACGTATATTTTAATTGGTGTTGGTGAAAATATATCCATACACAATAATATTTTACTCCGAATAAAATTAAATAACTTTCGTGTAATTATACATCTGATTTTAAAATGTAATTATATTTAACACTGGTGGTGTGCAACATTATTTGTTAGGAGTAAATTTCATAACGTGTTTGGAAATTTAAACAACTATTCGCTCTTTATTCCAAGAAATCATTGATGTTTAAAGTGGGCAATTAGTATGAATCATGGGGCATGCTCAGTTTGCTGATTCTTACTTATTCACAAGCTGAACACCAGATGTACAAATAGATAAACAAAATAAATTCTGTATTTTAATGATTTATCTATTTTTCTATTACCGCAAGTAAAATTTAAATGAAATTTGAAATAATTGATTGTTTTTAAAAGAGTCACGTTTATAATATCATTACCACGCGCCGGATTCTCAGACATATGGTCGCCACCTATTTACTAGGATTCTAGGTTTGGAGTGTATGGATGTTAAAATGGGGAAATGACGTTGGGTGAGAAGTTTGATACCGTTGCATAATCGAAAGTAAGATAATGTAGTTTTCCTTTTACTTTTAGACCTTCTAAAGTCTAATATTGAAATAATTTGAGTATTGTAGTAAAACTAAATATCACAATATTATATATATATGTGGATTTAAATTTTAGTGTAGTAATTAGGTAAAATTATTTAATGACACTACTACTAGTTCTATTACAGAGTATTACTATTAATACTACTAATATCACCAGTGCAAGTATTATTATTATTAATAATAATAATATTACTACTACTCAGTATGCTGTACTACTTCAACTTGTTCACTGTTGTGTAGTTATACTATAACTTATACAAGTTTATCAGTTGCGCGTCCAGTATAACAGTAATAGTAGTGTAGATATTAATAATATTTTTAACTTTCATACTTTGTGTCAAATGTTAACTTCAGATTTAATTGATAAGAAATGGGAGATGTTTTTAGATTATAATTTTTGATTTAAATAGAGGATTTTTGTTTTTCTTATCTGAAAGTTTGTGAAACTGAGTTTACAAAGAATAGATTATCTTATGTATTATCAGAAGTCTTGTTCTTAGATCTTAGAAAGTCCTTAAAATACACTAATCTAGAGTAGATGAACAGATGGCTGTAACTTTTAAAGTATGTAATTTTGTCTGTCTGTCAGTTTCTTTTAATCTAAACAGTGAAATTGTTATTGGTAGGAATTCTATGTTAGGCCACTATATATATATATATTGCTTAGGCTGCAACAATTTTTTAGGTTTTTATTACATTTCTTTCGTAAATCTTGTGTTTTTTGCTCCCAAAATCACAGAACTTTGTGGATTTCAGTGAAAAATAAATATGAGACATACATATAATTTAAGGAGAACAAGGGACTTGTTGGTCCATCTAGGCTATCCCATCTACTAAACTAAAATACAACACTCAAAGCCAATCCTTATCATTCAAATATTTATCAAGTCTTTCCTTAAGCTCTTTTAAAATAATGAATACTTCCTATAGAGCTGTAAGGTGCAAACCTTCTAATGAGTCTTGATATTCAGTTAAACTAATACTTTCTATATCATTTTATTAAGTTAACTGCATCCACCATGTTTAAATACAAGCAACCCGTTTCAAAGGACAACCACTTTGTTATAAAAATAAAGCTGTCTTAGCTGACGATGTAAAAATTTATATATGTGACCCCAAGTCCTACTATTCTTACCATTAGATATGAAAAAATTTGATGCACCAACACTATCTAAACACCTATAATAAAATCTTCTCTAATTCTTCTTCTTCTTTTTTTTCAAGAGAAAGCAGTTTCAAAGATCTTAACTTGTTTCATCTCGGGTATCATTGTAGTACCCCTCTGAATCCTCTCCAACAGTTCAGTGACCCTCCTAAATAAAGCACCCAAGACTGAACATTCCAAATGTGGCCTAACCAATGTCCTATACAGTGAAATTATAATTTCTTTAAACTTGTATTCAGTATTTCTGTAGATACAACCTAAAATTCTGTTTGCTGTGCCACTAGCAACACTGCTCCAATGAGCCAACCTATTCCTCACACCTACAGAGATAATTTTTTTAACAAGCCTTTTATGTGACATTTTTTCAAATGCTTTCAGAAAATCTAGATGTACCAAACAGACTTGTATGCTCATCTACATAAGCAATAACCTCTTCAAAGATTTTTCCCTAGTGGTGAAACCATGCTAACTATCCAACAAAAGTTTAAACTTTGTTAAATGGCTTTGTGAAGCATCTTATCACACTTATTTGACACTTTTAGAAACTTTTCCCTTCATTGCCCTAAGATTAATAGGCCTATACTTACTGGAACAATTTTTATCATCTCCAGTGAACTTCCATTCTTCTGGCAACTGCAAACTGTTAAGGAATTACAAAAAATATTAGCTAGTACCTCGCATATCAGGATGAGGAATATTGCTTAAATCTTCATTAGTAAAACTGAAAAATGAGTAGGATTTATGCATAACATGAAGTTTAAACTAGGAGTGTACCAATTTGAACATTGACAGATTACTTGTAACTTGGTTGTAAATAATTAGTTACTTAATGTTTGAATGTTTCATTTGTTAAGAATTCCATTGTTGATGGTATTAAGATGAATTTTAATGCAGCCCATTTGTTTCTCTAAACTCTACCCAGCCATAGTTTTAACATGGTGCTGATTTGTCATTAAATATAGGCCTAATAATTATGGAAGGAAACAGCTTTTATAATCTTTAGTCTATTTTGTGCCATCCTAGTTCATGAGTAAAGAAGGATAAGAAACCATCATATTGAAGTGTACAAGACTATTTGAAGGGGGGGGGGGTGATAGGATAACAACCTTTCATTTATTTGTGCTGTATTGTGAAGACAATATGGTGAGAGGCACAAGTTTATAGTTTCAAAAAGAAAGGCTAGGCTCCAATTAAGATAGTTTTATTTTTCTGACGATTAGCATATGGAATGAGTTGCCATCAGCAGTAGTGTTATTTCCATTCAAGAGATTAGCTTGCACCCATTTTGTTACAGTTCTGTAACTCTTGGCCATGTTTCATATATTTTCAGAATGAGACTAGCCTCCACCCATTTTGTTACAGTTCTGTAACTTTTGGCCATGTTTCATATATTTTCAGAATGAGACTAGCCTCCACCCATTTTGTTACAGTTCTGTAACTCTTGGCTATGTTTCATATATTTTCAGAATGAGACTAGCCTCCACCCATTTTGTTACAGTTCTGTAACTCTTGGCTATGTTTCATATATTTTCAGAATGAGATTAGCCTCCACCCATTTTGCTACAGTTCTATAACTCTTGGTCGTGTTTCATACATTTCCAGAATTTTAACTCCAATTTCTTACAGCCTTATATATATGCTTTTATTCTTGTGGCAGTGGCATGTATTTTAAATTTTTTCATTTATGTTGGTTATTCCATAGCTGATATTTTTGCAGTATGAGTTTCTGCTTGTAGAATTATCATGTTTTGTGTTTTGTTTTAGCTTCTCAGCAAGTACAGCCATTTTGGAATCTTGTAGCCAACTAATCAGCTTCAGTTTACAATGAAATCTTTGGTTACTTTTGCAGATTTCAAATTTTGAACAATTAGATAAAAGCCACATGGAGCACTGTATTTACTCTTTTGATTCTACTTTCATTTTGAGATGAATACTTTGAATCTGATTTGTATGAAGACTGGTCGATTTTTTACCTCTCTTGATTAGGTGAGTTTGTTCATTGTCTATTAGACCTTGAACCTTCATCTGCTTCTTTACATTTAATACTCTTTGGAGTACCCCTGGATAATTGTGTTTCTCTTTTGTGCTTGTACTCGGAGTGCTCCTGGAGAATTGTTGCAATTCTCTTTCTTGCTTGTACTTGAAGTGCCCCTGGATAATTGTTGTGTTTCTCTTTCGTGCTTGTAATTGGAGTGCCCCTGGAGAATTGTTGTGATTCTCTTTCCTGCTTGTACTCAGAGTGCCCCTGGAGAATTGTTGTCTCCAGGGGCACTCCAAGTACAAGCAGGAAAGAGAAACCCAACAATTCTCCATGGGCACTCCAAGTACAAGCAGGAAAGAGAAACACAACAATTATCCAGGGGCACTTCAAGTACAAGCAGGAAAGAGAATCTTAATTGTTGTGTTTCTCTTTCCTGCTTGTACTTGAAGTGCCCCTGGATAATTGTTGTGTTTCTCTTTCCTGCTTGTACTTGAAGTGCCCCTGGATAATTGTTGTGTTTCTCTTTCCTGCTTGTACTTGAAGTGCCCATGGATAATTGTTGTGTTTCTCTTTCTTGCTTGTACTCAGACTGCCCCTGGAGAATTGTTGTGTTTCTCTTTCCTGCTTGTACTCGGAGTGCCCCTGGAGAATTGTTGCAATTCTCTTTCCTGCTTGTACTCGGAGTGTCCCTGGAGAATTGTTGCAATTCTCTTTCCTGCTTGTACTTGGAGTGCCCCTGGAGAATTGTGTTTTTTTTTTCTTGCTTGTACTTGGAGTGCCCCTGAATGATTGTTGTGTTTATCTTTCCTGCTTGTACTTGGAGTGCCCCTGAATGATTGTTGTGTTTTTCTTTCCTGCTTGTACTTGGAGTGCCCCTGAATGATTTTTGTGTTTAACTTTCTTGCTTGTACTTGGAGTGCCCCTGAATGATTGTTGTGTTTTTCTTTCTTGCTTGTACTCGGAGTGCCCCTGAATGATTGTTGTGATTCTCTTTCCTGCTTGTACTTGGAGTGCCCCTAAATGATTGTTGTGTTTTTCTTTCTTGCTTGTACTTGGAGTGCCCCTGAATGATTGTTGTGATTCTCTTTCGTGCTTGTACTTGAAGTGCCCATGGGTAAATGTTGTGTTTTTCTTTCTTGCTTTTTTTTACTATAAGATTTCAACAATTTATAGATTTTTTTTGTGTTTTTTATCTTTAATTTTTGTAGGTATCTTGTTTGGTAGATGTTTAAACTGTGTACTTTCAGTCATTGTCAGAAGTAGCTGATGTGGGTATGCCTTCCCAAAAATCGGTGTATTCCATCATCATGTGGCAATTCCAAGAATGGAATGGCTTTACAATTTCTGTCATATAAGCTTGGTTTACTTTTTCACTCTGGATGGCTCTGCCGAAGTCTTTTCTCTTGGTCTGTCACAGTCACACAGATCTGGTTTACTTTAATTATAATGGATGTTTTTAACCCTTAGGTATCTCTCAACCTTCTTACTTTTCATACCCATCTTCTCTCTTGAATTGGTGGCTGTAACTTTATGCTCCAGTTTCCAGTTGTATCTGTCAGTTCTCTTTGGGAACTTTCTTTGTAACTCATGAAGGGATTTCCTACTGTCTCTTTTTTTATTTGTTGTTGGCTTTAATTAGGGATTGTTCTGTCCTGGATGCTGTTGCTTTCTCTCAATATTTTTCCAGGGAGAACTTTTATTCAATTTGTTCTTTCCCAGACTTTTAGGCGGACAATCACTTATTTCAAACATTATTCTTCATTTCTTTAATTATTTTATAGAATACCTGTATCCATTATATGTGATTATTGGACTGTAGATCTGTGTTTTAGTTTGTTGTGTGATTTAATTCCTGTTGTCCTTATGAATTAGCATGATTGGTTCATATCTGTGGTCATTTATAATTTTCCTGATATTCTTTTTGGATTGGGGTTTGATATTTTTTGTTAATCCTATTTTATAAGCTGTATTCATTCATTTTCCTCCATTTCTCTTTTATTACTTGCCATCTTGTACTTCTAGCATTACAATAGTAACAATTAAGCTTATCCTTATCACTACTTCTATACTCATTTCCTATGCTAAACTTTTTTCTTCCTCTTATTCTTTTTGCATTCAGTTTTTACTGGCCCTCATCACCAAAGGAAAATCTTGCCTTTCAAATCTTTTAACAATATTTGAAAAGGTTACTGCTTATGTAGATGAGGATAAGGGTGTAGATTTGGTGTATCTGGATTTTCAGAAAGCATTTGACAAGGTGTCACATAAAAGGCTTGTAAAAACAATTATCTCTGTAGGTGTGGGGGATAAATTAGCAAATTGAATAGAAGAGTGGCTGGATGGAAGAAAGCAGAGGGTTGTTACAAATGAGTTCAGTCAAATTGGATTAATGTTACAAGTGTGGTACCTCAGGGCTCAGTCTTAGGACCTTTGCTTCTTTTTAATTTACATCAATGACACAGGTGAAGGGATAGTCAATAAATTACTTAAATTTGCAGATGAT